TTTTTTTTTTTTTTTTTTTTTTTTTTTTTTTTTTTAATGGATCATAAGAACATGGTCGAATTCGGAAGGTTTTTATTATTACAACGGCTCTAATTTTGTAACTACCAGTGGCATTCGGACTACATGTTTTCCATCAGACCAAGAAAGAGAACCAAAGACTGCACCCACATTGCCTAGTGTCAGATTCTGGTTGTTGGCTGATATGGCCACTACGAAGCTCTGTTTCTTCACCGCCGTTGAGAATACCAGTTTCGACGGCTTTACCTTCACCGTCACCCCTTTCGGAGCTTCGATTTTAGCTTGGTACACCGAATTTGCCGCCCCCACGTTCGTCGCCGTTCGGATAAACGATTTTGTGGACAACACTTTTGATAGACTGGAAAACACTGCTACAATTGATGGGTAGTTCAAATTCCCTGGCAATGGCTTCCTCGCCGGACATTTCACCGGCGTTCGAGATATGACCTGGATCATCTTCGCTCCGTAGCCAATTGAGCATAGGAAGTTGACATAATCGGTGTTTGTAATGTCGTAGACTAGTCCAGGGTCCATTGCGAGGCCGAGATTCACATGACCGGCACCGAAATCGTACGGCGTAGAAGCTTTTCCAGTGGATTCTTCTGTCGTCGGCTGCCATCGGTTGTCGGTGATTTTTGCGGTGGTCATCATGGCGGATCTTATCGCCGCTGGACTCCAATCGAGATGTGCTGATTTCAATAGAGCGGCGGCTCCACTTATATGAGGACATGCCATTGATGTACCTGACAAGATATTGAACTCTATTTTTCGTGTATCGAAGTCTAAACCGGTTGGGCCGACGACGTCTGTCCAAGCGGCTAAAATGTTAACCCCTGGTGCAATCATGTCCGGTTTTAGAATTTCAGGGTTTAATCCATTTGGCCCTCTTGCAGAAAACGAAGCCACCACCGGCGCCGGTTTGATTCCGATTCGTGTGCCTCGGAAGGCGATGGTGGCGGTGGGATTTCTAGAGGACGATGCGTAGGCTTTCATGGCATCGCCTTCTACAGAGCCGACGGCGCAGGCGGGAAGGATATGGGCATCGCCGACGAGTCCTTCGCCGTTCGAAATTCCATTCGCCAGAATCATTCCAACGCCGCCGGCCTTCTTCACCACCAAACCCTTCGCCACTCTCGGGCTACTTCCTCTGTCGCAGATAACAATTTTTCCGGTCACAATCTTAGGGTCAAGCGAACTCTCCATACAGAGCGAAGCAGAGAGCTCCCCTGATTTTCCAGGGTAAACCAACGGATACATTGTACCGTTCAATGGCGCTCCGGCGTACAGCGAAACGCCGTGAATCTTCCGTCGGTTTCCCATAATCACCACCGCCGGGAAATTCCGGTCAATCGTACCAGCTCCGACCGTCGTAATCCACGGCGCTAAGTTCGTCACTGACATCCCATTGGGTCCATCGTTGCCAGCCGAAGACGAAACGAAAATGCCCCTAGAAGCGGCGCCGTACGCCCCGATTGCAATTGGGTCAAGATAATACGGCGTGGAAACGCCATCGCCGCCACCAATCGAGATCGAAATGACATCGACGCCGTCGTTAACAGCAGAATCAAACGCCGCCAGAATATCCGAATCGAAACAACCCGAATTTTTCCAACAAACTTTGTAAACCGCCAAACGTGCCTTAGGGGCCACACCCTTCGCGATTCCCGAAGCATAACCCTCCAAACTCGCCTGAAACGCGTGACGCCCAGCCGCCGTCGATGCCGTGTGAGTCCCATGGCCGTCGGCGTCTCTCGGAGATCGGTACTCAACGGTGTCGTTAATCCCAATAATCGGACCATCTGCGTTGGACCCTGCTTCGTGACCCTTAGAGAAAAACCTCGCACCGACGATCTTCCTATTACAGTTTTTGGCCGTGAACTTAGTTCCAGTCTGACAAACCCCTTTCCACCGGCGAGGAATCGGCCCCAAATTCACATCGGAGAAGCTCCGCCGTTCAGGGCAAATCCCAGTATCGAAAACTCCAATGATTACATCCGACCCATAATCGGAATCAGACCACAAACCACGCTGGTTTCGAAGGCCGAGAAATTGAGGGGAACGCGTGGTGTGAAGCTGACGGCGACGGTCCTCAAAGACAGCAAGCACAGAAGGGTGTTTTCCGACGGAATCGGCTTGCTCTTGAGTGAAAGTTGCAGAGAATCCATGAAACACGGTGTCGTAAACATGGAGGATTTTGTGGGATTCGGCGAACTCGGAAGTGTACCAGTGGAAATGGGTGGGAAAAACAGAGGGTTTAGCGAAACGGTCCACTCGGAAGATGAAGGTCTTCAATGGCGGATCAGCCGGAACTGTAGAGCCATGGATTAACAGGAGGAGAGAGAAGAAGATGGAAGAGGAGAGAGAAGTGGCGAAACAAGCGGCCATTAGAGAGTGGAAATGGAACTCAATACGCCGCGAGCAGAACTGGGGGGGAGGGGATATAAAAGAGACGACTGATTAATTCTTTTAATTTAAATTAATTAATTCTTAAATATAAAATTAGGAATTAAACGACGCCGTTAAAGGAAATTTAATGAGTCAGTGTCTTTTAGTTGCGGTACCGGTGGAAAGTACAAATTTGTCGTTAAACGACGTCGTCTCGTAAAATATTATTATTATTACTATATTTCAAAATTATTTATTTAAATTCAAATAAAAGGGAAAGGTTAAAAAAACTGTGGGGTTGCTCTCGTAAATTTCTAAAACTAGATGGGTGTTTAAGAAATTATTTAAAAAAAAGGGGGGAAAAGTGGAATAATTGATGCATTAGCTTGCGTGGATGATAATAATGAATAATGTAATTAATTATTAATTTAATGTTGATTTTTTTTTATAAGAAAAATAGAGACATGGATATTTGATGAGTGATAGACCCATGTACATATTTAATGCATGATAATTAGTAGGTAGGTCCGTATTTAATGCGTGACGATTCTTTTACATAAATTTAGATTCAAATAATTTAAAACGTCTTTAGTAGTTATATTATATTTTGTAAGTAAAAGCTTTAATTTTTTAATTTTGGTGGTCATTCGATTAACTCAAATTTTAATTTTTTTTTAGTATCACGTTTAAATATATAATTTTTGAAGAAAATTTTATTTAGATCCAAAAAATATAAAAAAAATATATAATTAATTTAAATATTATCAGACGAACAATATATTAATTAGTATTAAAAAGATCTACCATTAAAAAAATACTAAAATAACTCAAATAATTAGATATTTACGTCAACATGAGTTTAGCTCATCTAATTGAAATATATATGATCGATAAAGAGTTCAAATATTGGAATCTCACTCTACCCTTTTCTTTTGCCAAAAGCAGGGAACAGCAGAGTGAAGGAAAGGAGATCCCGTGGTAATGATCTCAATGATCAATGTCATGTTCCCATTCATCCAACCGTTTATTGCCACTAAACCCTAAATCTAATCATCATTCGTTTACATGGACGGTTCTGATCTCATTGGATCCCACACTGGTGGGTCCTAGACTCAGATAAATATTTTTAGATTTTTTTATATAAAGAATATTTGCTGGAAAGTTGGATAAATGTTTTTTTCGTGCTTGGCGCTATTTTTAATTAATTTATTTCCGCAGTAATAAATTAAGGTTACTTAGTTATAGGGAAAATAAAAGGCCAAAAACAAAATTTTGGATGATTTCTTTTAATAATAATCTTGGCATTTAAAAAATATATATTTTTTAATAATAGGTATTTAAAAAATAATTATAAAATTAGATGACGATAAATTTATTAAATTAAATTTTGTAATAATTGAAATTGTTTTTTTTATTGATTTAATCAAAATTTAAGGTAGAAATGTCACCATTTGGATTTTGAGGCCCATGACATCTGTAGTGTCGATTGTTTTGGGCCTCTTAAGAGGCCCAGTAATTAATCATAAACGGGCCTATGGCCTTTGTAAAATTATGGGTTACTTTTCATTTTTATATTAAAGGTTACTTTTGTCTTTAAAGACAAGTTTTTAAAAAAAAAAAAATCTTTTAACTTTTTTTCCTTTTATTGTTTAAAAAAACATGCATTTTCATTTAGTTTATTGAATTTTGTCGGTTTGATCTTCCACTCTACGATTATTGAATTAAGAATTTCACTTATATATAATCTTTAATTACTCTCAAATATAATGATGCAAAAACTATTCCTCAAATATTTTAATATAATCGACTACAATATTATATTATGAACTTAAAATATTAAGCACTTAAATCTTCACAACCATATGTAACAAAACGCTAAAAAGGAAAAAAAAAAAATCATTTCAAGTAATGAATAATATCACGTTAAAGTCTCAACTAATTAAATTATAATGTCCTAAATCAAAAGAATGAAAGTTTAAATCTTCATCAAGAAGTAAACAACAATATACCTATCTAATATTTCAAATTTGACCCTAACAAGAAATTAATGTTCGATGTGGTTGTTTATTATACATTAAGATTATTGAGGATTATTGAGAGTGACTCCCACGTTTGTTAATTCAGTGGAAGATCATGAGTTTATGAGAAGCTCTAAACAAAATCATTAGAGTTTATACCCAAAGCAAAATCAACGGATTATTGTTGGTAAGTCATTATCCATGATTAGCCACCAAGCAATAATTGCTCATATTGTCACACAATAAAGGATACTAATATTTAGACCTTATCACTAAAGTGTTCCAATGAATCATTATTTTATAATTTCATGGTCACATATTCTAACTTCCATTGCAAACAAACAAATGATTATGATATGAATCGATTATTTATTTAGGAGTATGTTGGTGAATTTTTTAAAGTTTCTTTTAATATTTCCATATTTTCATCCAAATCAGCATTGAAAACATGATGAATTATGCAGATTCAAGCTGAGATAAACAGGAATTAAATTATTTCTACAGAAGTGGGGAAGGAAAGTTTAAGAAGGCAAGAGGATAATATACATAAGATCAAATTACACACTACATCAATTATCAGCAGCAGCTCACCTTTTCAAGATCAAAGCCAATACAAGAAAAGGGGCTTTGATTGTCCACAACATTAGTTTTTATTTTTACTTACATTAGTTCCCAAAAAAGAAAAATAAAGATGAACAAACGAAGAAGGAAAGAGCAGATAACATATAGTGATTGGGAGTGGTCATTGATTATTAAAAAACAGAGTAAAAGATGCCTAAAGAACGATTGATGAGCTATTTTCTTTTTCTAATTCTTTTTATCTATTTGGCTCTGTCCTTGATCACATCGATCCCCATCTCAGTTGGATCGGTTGCTTGGACCTCGTAATGTATACCTTCCAGCACTCTCCTCAGTCCAGCTTTTGAAGTTGCGTATAGAATTTTTGCTCTAATTCTTGATGCGGTCGGTGACCTGCACCAGATTTATTAATCGAAGGATCAATTTCAGTTTCAGTTTTAGATTCAGATCCGTCCTCCAAAACCTTGCATTACAGTGCTCGAGTGATAAATTCTTTGTTGAGGAAACGCAGAATCATATAATCGGTTAGTTTTTCCAGAGAAATTCGATTTCAGATGTGCGATTATGCTGTTCTGAACATGTAATTAGTCAAGATCTATAACAGAATTAGAGATTATGAATTTGAGGAAACTTTGAGTCAGTTATCAAAGTTCCCGCCCAAACAGAAGCGTATTTCGCAAGATTCAAGTAATCAGATAGAATTGGACGATTCAACTGAAGCAGAGGTTAGATGAGTGAAGAACGGACGCGATCGACGAAAAACAGAGAAGAATCGAACAACATACCAGGCGATGAAGAAGATCTTGCTCTTCCGGCAATTATCAATGGTGACAAAGTCGAAATCGAACACAGCATACCGACAGTCGTCGGTCGGCAATGAGGCGGTGAGATCATCGTAGCTTTCTGCGGAACCGCCGACCTTGTCCACAGTAACCAACCTCGATCCTTCATCGATCTTAAAAACAATATACCTATGCACCTTCTTCCATTTCATTTCCATGAACGAGTTCTTGCACTCATCGCTCACCCACATTCCAGTGGTTGCCTGAGATTCGCCATTAACAAGATCAAAATTCAAGAATCAAGAAAGAAAAAAGAAAAAAGAGCAACAATCGGAGTGCATAAATGAATACCATCTTGAAAGCCATCGCCATTGTGAATTTGTAAGGTCTCGTCCGGAACTTCTCTGAGTTACTGAAAATCGACTACCTAAGAGTGAAGAGTGAACGAAGTCCGTGGCTTTATATAACGATCGCCTTCCTAAAATGCCCTCATCAATTGCACTTAATTACGCTTTTGTCCTCCATCATCAAACCATGTGTGGATCCAAAAATTTCACCCCTTAAAATTATATAATATTAAAAAATGTTCATATTATATTTAATTCAATTTTAATTTAAAATATTCTTATAAATTAATATCCTATTTAAAAAAATACTCAAAGTGTATTTTTCAAACACTTTTGAAAGTTGGATAAAAGTATTTTTTTAAAATAATTTAAAAATATTATTGAAAAATATGGTAGATTTTTTTTTAAAAAAAATCAGTGTAATTAAAAAAAAAAAAAAAAAAAAGTTAATGAGATAAATGAGGCATAAGAAGACTAGGTTCAAGTTGGCCATTATTGTTATTATTATGATTCAATGGTTGTTCTCTCATTTCAATGCTTTATTGCTTCTAAAAAGTGTTTGGAGCTTTTCCATGAATTTGTCTGGTAGAAAGTTCCGGCCATCATTCCTTTGTGTGGAGATGTAAAGTTCGAGGCGGTGTGAATAATATTTTGATAATTGATAGCGGAAAACTATGTTATGACTTAATTCCATGGACGTTTCACGTGTATCTTACTAACGAAAGGTTTGATAGTTCTTGTTCAAAGGAAAATGGTTCATAGTTCTACGTTTACGAGAAGAAGTAAGCGTCTTTGGTATACATGTAAATGACAACATTTTCATTTGTACTTAGTCGTTTGGGGGGAGGGAAAGTCAAGCCTTTGCAGATTTCGACTCAAAGTGGAGAGTATTATATCATTGTAGAAATAAGGTCAATAATAACGAATTGAAAAACATACCCGTGTAGATTTCGACTCATAGTGGGCAGTATTATATAATCGTGAAAAAAGGGTAAAAAGTAAAAAACTGAAAAACATGCTCGTGTAGATACCGACTAAGCTGGGCAGTAATATATCATTGTGGAAATAGGGTAAATAGGGTAAATAGTAACGACATGAAAAAACATGCCCGTGTAGATTCCAACTCAAAGTGGGCAGTAATATATCATCGTGGAAATAGGGTAAATAGTAACGAACTGAAAAGCATGTCCGTGTAGATTCCAACTCAAAGTGGGCAGTATTATATCATCGTGAGGGTACATGCTCATGTAGATTCCGATTCAACATGGACAATATTATATCATCGTGAGGGTAAATAGTAACGAACTGAAAAACATGCCCGTGTAGATTCCGACTCAAGTGGGCAGTATTATATCGTCGTGGAAATAGAGTAAATAGTAACGAGCTGAAAGCCGGATTTGGCGATGCGATAAGATTGATGAGTGAGACTACAAAGAGAAGAGTCCAAGTAAATGGAGGGGAAAAGGGGAGACAAGAGAGGGGTGGAGGTGGGGCAATGGTTGAGGAGATTTAGTCTTAGAAGTTCGTGGGCAAAATAATGAAGGTGATGGAATGAGGAGGTTGTGATGTTTATCTGCTAGCTGTGTTCTTAACAAATCTTGGGCTCTACTTTATGGCTTCTTTCTGATGGAATTGCTCTATTTGCTTTTCTGGTTGGCAATGGCATCCCATCCAATTCCCCATTGCAGCAACCATACTAGAACCAGTTGAATATCGACGGTTTGCTTTGTGTCCCTAATCCTACGTGTATAAGAGGGTTAGGGATGGTGAGATCCCACGTTGGTTGGAAAAGGATCTTATAAGGGCGTGGAAACCTCTTCCTAGTAGACGCGTTTAAAAATCGTGAGGTTGACTGCAAAACATAACGGGTCAAAGTGGAAATATTTGTTAGTGATGGGCTTGAGCGGTTACAAATGTTATTAGAACCAAACACCGAACGGAGTGCTTGCAAAGACGTTGACCCTTAAAGAAGGTGGATTGTGAGATCCTACATTTGTTGAAGAGGGGTCGTATAAGGGTGTGGAAACCTCTTCCTAATATAGATGCGTTTAAAAACTGTGAGACTAATGAAGATATGTAACGGGCCAAAGCGGACAATATTTGTGAGCGGTGGGCTTGGGTTGTTACAAATAATATTAGAGGCGGATACCGAGCGGTGTTCCAACGAGGACGTTGGCCGCGATTGTGAGAACCCACATTTGTTGGAGAAGGGTCTTATAAGAGGGTAGAAACTTCTCTCTAGTAAACACATTAAATAACCATGAAGCTGACGGCGATAAGTAGCGGACTAAAGCAGACAATATCTACTAGTGGTAGGCTTTGACAATTACCAGAGTTGAATTTAGCTTTGAAACTTGTGTTTTGTTTAATAAAATAATAAAAATAAAAGTGAGTTGCAATTGAACTCGTTGCAAAAAAAGGTAACACACGTCTCCTATTAGATAGTCGCCCCTTTCCCTTTGTTTACAACCTTGCGAACGAACAAAAGAAAGGGGCAAAATGTGGTAAAATGTTTAGCAACACGCTCACATCTCTATCTTAGGTAGGGTCGGAGATCATTGATTAGTCCTTTGACCGATCATTGTTGGGTTAATCCGGTTAGCATCTCCTACACAAGTATACTCTTCTCTCGTTCTATGGTTCCAAGGCAGAAAATACACATCTTAACTAGTTGAGCTAGCTAGGTATTTAATCAGTGAACTGTTCTAAGAGAATTCAATACCGATTTCCATTAGAATAGTACTCACCGAATCGTTAAGCTCGCAAACATGAAAGGTGCACAAAAGGTTCATGCACGATGCAATATATAAAGAACAAGGCTCTGCCTTCTATTTTCATAAGCTAAAAAGGCTCAAAATGTATAAGGTGACATCTCATTATAGACAGAATCGCATATGCTAAGTGAATTTCAGAGCTAATTTATTATACAAGGAGTGAAGTAGTTACCAGGGAAGATCTGTGATTTCTGCTAATAGGTAGATGAACATAAACCTCATGAACATCTTGTTTGCACACTTCACCTCTGTCCCGATCAATGGCATAGCACACGTAAACAGTTTCGATCACATTATCCAGTACGTGGATAAAGAATTCGAGTATCACGATCAGGAGCAGCCATGCCGCAAAAGCCACAAGGTACATATTGGCCCCAAGATGGCTCACAGCTCGTAAGATAGCACAAGCCTGCAAATAGAAATGGGAAAGTGTTCAAGGTAGACCATAAAACAAAACTACAGCCCATTTTGTGTCTACGTACCACAATTGCGTATATGGCCGAGAGGACGAAGGCGATTCCAAGTAATAAACGTGTGGAGATTGTTTCGACAAAAACCGTCGAAAGGAGGTTTCGTTTCAAAAGTTCGTATGTCATTCTTGCAGATGAGCAGTAAGCTTCACCAGTTATTGCTGCAAAAGTTATTGTGAATTTGTTCAGATAATCAATGGCTGCCAGAAATGCATTTACGCAGCAACGTAAAATGATCTTGAACATCCCAGGAGTATCTTCTTGTCGTACACTATCGACCATAGCACGAACGACACGCACCACAAGAATTAGTAACCCAGATAAACAAACAGTGCCAGCAGAGGGACCAAATGCATTCCTGCATGTGGGCAATGGCCAACATAAAATCAATAATCATAAACGATGCCGTAACATTTTGATACTGTGAGCCCAACGCATAATGACTCGACGACTTAAAATGGTTACATTTTGCAGCTTAAAGATTGAAAGGAATGGCATATTTAAGCTTGACAGGAATGGCATATACCTTTTCTTCTTTCATTCGTTGCTTCATTAGCCACAAATCTATTCAAGTCAATTTTCTAGGAATACAGGTTATTCTTAACACCTTCCTTCTTCTCTTCATCGAACAACGACTTTGTCTCCTCTTTGATATCGAACCCATTAGTCTTCTCCTCAAGCCTTCGGGTGGGGTTCTGCTCCGACATTTGGTCAAGGTCCCCCAAAACCTTGGCTTCTCCACTAATTTGGACCCTAGTCTACCCCTGGTTCATTCGCTATCCACTGCATTCGAGTAATTTTAGAATCAAGAGGGAGCTGATTCAAACAATAAGGATCCAGCTTTTAACATTAAGGGAAATGGTTTAATGGTAACTCTAGTTGCTGAAAAGGATGTTGAACCAGAGATTCTCATCTTCTTTGATCATCTCAATGCTAAAGATCAGCAGAACGGGTTCTTACCGGGAGGCTGGATCGGTAGCACCATCCTAGAGAAAAGGACTTGATGATTCTACTGCTGACTTCATCAAAAAGGCTTGAAAAATCATTAAAGAGGATGTTCCAAATTTTTTTCCTAGAGATGGGTGTTATGAACATGGCACTGTGAGATCCCACATCGGTTGGAGAGAGGAACGAAGCATTCTTTATAAGAGTGTGAAAATCTCTCCCTACCCGACGCGTTTTAAAACCTTGAGGGAAAGCTCAAAGAGAACAATATCTGCTATCGGTGGGTTTGGGCGGGTACAAATGGTATCAGAGCCAAACATCAGGCGATGTGTCAACCAGGAGACTGAACCCCGAAGGGGGGTGGACCCAAGGGTCCCACATTGATTGGAGAGGGGAACAAGTGCTAGTGAGGACGCGGGGACCCGAAGGGGAATTGATTGTGAGATCCCACATCGGTTGGAGAGGGGAACAAAACATTCTTTATAAGGGTGTGGAAACCTCTTCCTAGCCAACGCGTTTTAAAACCTTGAGGGGAAACCCGAAAGGGAAAGCCTAAAGAGGACAATATCTGTTAGCGGTGGGCTTGGACTGTTACCGCCACCATTGTCTATAGTTATAAGCTTCACTCAATTGAGGCTGAACCCCGAAGGGGGTGGATCGGGGGGTCTCACAGTGATTGGAGAGGAGAACGAGTGCCAGCGAGGACACTGGACCCCGAAGGGGAGTGGATTGTGAGATTCCACATTGGTTGGAAAGGGGAACAAATCATTCTTTATAAGGGTGTAGAAACCTCTTCCTAGCATACGCGTTTTAAAACCTTGAGGGGAAGCCCGAAAGGGAAAGCCTAAAGAGAACAATATCTATCAGCGGTGGGCTTGGACTATTATCACCACCATTTGTCTATAGTTATAGGCTTCACTCAATTGAGCTCGAAGAACTTACACTAATCACTCTTCATCTAGCCCATATAAAATCATACAAAGATAAACAACTTCATCCTCATTGCCAGGGAGATATTGTAGCACTAGAAGATAATGATAAAGAACAAGAAATCTCAAATAATTTGGCCACAATCTAAGTGAGGAACATGAATTTGATGGCGAAATGAAACATACTTTGGCAAATCAATTCAAAACAAGAAAGCCACTTTACTAACCTTAAAGACTTTCTAATGCTCCGGCTTGGAGTGTCATCCTCTTCTTTCGAGAAATACCACTGCGAAATGGTACCACTAATCACATAAACTTGTCCTTCAACCATTACAGCACCAGACCACACCATCGTAAGAATAGCCAATGCATAATAAGCAGGTACCCACTTATCTTGCTTCCAAACACAAGTATAGTCTCCACTCGATCCATGGTGATGGGGCACAATTTTCCCATTCAACCTCGCAAACACCAAGAACAGAACAATTGGTGCATAATAAATCAGTAGCCCCAGTGTCATACTCGGTATAACCAGAAGCAAACCCAGATTCATAGACAATGCATCCGAGGCAACCCCAATTATACTAACGGTGAGCCCAATTCGATGCCAATTAACGATAAATATCCACACGATTACCCCAATCACCAAGAACATGAAGATCAGAACTAAAATTCTGTACACCATAGGGAAGTTGTAGCTGCAAACGGGGTTAACCGTACAGGCAATGAACCAATAGACATTGATGAAGATAGGAACAAGAACGAAGAAAGGAAGTGAGGCGTATACAATCTGCCTCGTGTAGTGCTTAAGCAAGAGAAGTAAAAAAAAGCAAATGGGTAAGCTCAAAATCAAAGTAGCTACAAGGGTCCAAATCAAGGATTTCAAAACAGAGGAAGAAGAGGAGAAAGAGTAGAGAAAAACCCAAATGGGGGATGAAGAAAAAACAGAGTCCGTGACACAATTGGAGGTTCTCTCATCATAGTAATAGGAGGAGAGGTTAGAGTAATTGATATTTCGATTGAAAGTGGCAAAAATCCCAAACCCAAAAGAGGATAAAACGAAGAGAATGAAAAGAACAAGGATGGGTATGTCCTTGAACAGCCGGTGGCCGTAGTTGTAGGAAATTTGAAGGTACTGAGAAGGGTCGGATTCGGAGGGATTGCTCTGTGGTGGGTCGTCAATGGTGGGATAAGGGTATAGAAGCGGCGGAGGAGAGGGGTTTGAGAGAAGGGGCTGAGAAGCCGATGAGGAGCCGTGAAGGGAAGCGGCGGCGTTGGGTTCTTCAGAGGCGGCCATGGGAGTGGAGAGAAAAGGGGGAAGAAGGAGAAGGTAAAGGTTAGAGTGGAGGTAAAGAAGGGGATGAAAATGGATGAAGGAAGCAGAGTGAGTGAAACGTGAAGCACGAGTTGAGGTGAAACCTGGGACCCATTATCCAGCAAGATG